CTCTCTTTGTGAAATTATTTATTATCTAAGCTTTATAAATATTTCATTGTAAAGCTTATATTTCATTGTAAAGTTTGTATTTCATTTTGATATTATAGATAAATAGAATTTGAATCTACCTGTGTAAAGGATATACAGTTTAATACTATACGTGAGTGAACTCTCTTATGTGCAACAGGTCATGCTAGATGTAGCAGTTCATCATTGACAGTACGCCTATATGCATGCAAATTTATGGGCATAATGACGTTCATTAATTCCTTTTTACATTTGGCGTTTTTTTTTCGTCATTAATAATTAGTCTATAATACGCTCAAATGACTTCAAACATATTTTTAGAGATCTAATTGTACAACATGGTACATCGTACAGTTTAAGTCACTTGCATAACACTTATAACTGTATGATATACTACAGCATATTATAAATATCTAATTATATAGTCACGTGACATATATCCAAACTCAATACACAAATATATAATTTTTATATTATGTGATTTATATTATGTGATTTATATTATGAATATTATAGTCACGAGGTAAAGCTCATACTTCATATACATTATATTCGTTACACAAATAAAAATTTTGAGAACATATCATCAATGATATTAATATTAAAATTTATCGCAATAAGATCTATCAAATTGAATAGTATTTATCTATTTAAATATACAATGCTAATTTAATAACAATAATTTTTTAAATTTATGCGTACAATTTTGATTGATATTCTTTTATTTAAAGATCACTGTTGCTTTGTATGCACCACACAAACCTCTCTAGAACCGAATTTGTCGCCTCTTATCAAACAAATTCGGATCTACAGGGTAGATGTAGAGCATTAACTGGGCTTTCTTGTACGGCACATTGCTCAGCGTTTATTTTCTTATATATTAAAAATACTTAACATATACGTGCCGGTCTTAACTTCTTTGTCCGCCCAGTATGTGATCTTCAGTAGACTGCAAGTACCATTTTAGGAATCTGAAAATATTTTGATATTAATATCATTTTCTATACTTCAATTGTAAATAGAGAATAACTAAAATATAATAAATTTGAATAGTTTTTAATTCGAAATTAATTTGTAAATTATAAGAACTATTGCTATACCTTTAGAAATTTTTAATTGTAAATACATTTTTGTACAATTTTATCCATTTCGGTCTTGTTACAACGTCTAACACACAAATATATACATATATTATTATAAAGACTTTAGTTCCGTTAGGCATGTATTATGTATTCTATCAACGCATTCGTTCATGAATATACATATTTATTCAACAAAATTATGCTACGTTACCGGTATTTGCATTTCTAGAAATGAATATCGTTTGAAAAATTATAGAATATAGTTAATTTCAAATTAACGCTCGCAGGCTTACAATGTGCACGGTCACGGAAATAGCTTGGGTATGCCAAGTCACTCCTCAAGAAAGCGAGGTAGAACCTGATTTTGCGCAAACTATGTAAATTCCAAAAAATATTGTTATTTAAAATATTAAATTAATAAAATTGGTCGCTGTTAGTTATATAAGAAACAATATTCATTTTTAAGATAAAATTAATTTTTTTAATTTACGTGTCACGAGGTGCTTGTAACTATGAAAGTAAAAGTATAAAATAAAAGTAAATCTTTTATCAATTACATATTCGACTTTTTTTTATAATTTAACAAGTTTTTAGAATTAATCAATTAACAAGAAAAAGAAATATTATTTTTATATAATATTAATCATTTTATTTTGATATTGTTACTAATATTGCCACGCCATTCTTATTATTAATACAATACTTCATGTAATACTTTGTTAAGAAATTTTGCAAAGACATAACATTAATTTTTATTATTGTTTAATTATAATCTCTCTTTATCTTTTGTGTAAAAAAATTTTGTAAGTTATACAAATGTTGTTCATATTAAGTATGAAAATTAATTTATAGTACAAGGATATATAATCGCAAATTTGCAGTATGTAAGCTATTCTTTGTGATATTTCTTGTTCTTATTGATAGTTCTTGTTGAAAGATCTAACAAATTGTACGCAAAATGATAACTAAGGAGCAAATATTGTAGCCGTTTCTTTTAACATTTAGATATGCTGTTATAGATAAATTCTGTTATGTCACTTGACACGATTCGTAAGTGAATATCGTACTGGATTATCTCAGTGACAATGATCACATTACACCTGCACTACCAATGATGATTGATGCTCGTCCCTGGGATCGAAACCACCTGAGCGTTAACGGCTCAAGGATGACACAGCTGAATGTAGCAAGGTCGCGTTCTCCTTGGTTTCTTCTTCTCCTTCTTCTTCTTCTTCTTCGTCTTCTTAGCGGTACAGCTCCTTTTATTCCTGTACGTGTGTCGATGTACCTTTCATTTCCAGGTTACTTGGTCATGTCGTATACGCTGGTTGTTCGCATGCAAATACTGAAGAAAAAAAAATATTTATAAATATTTTATATATTGTATATTTGTATTATATATCAATACAAGGAAAAATAAAATAGAAAAATAAAAATATGCTGTATTCTAATATATGTAACAAAAGAGTGAACTAAGAAGAGATTACATTGTAAGGAAATCCCTAGACAACACAAAGTCAAGAATTAGGACATAATACATTTAAAAAATATGTTACATCCGGATTTTAGACTGGGTCACAATACCCAGACAAATTAGTTTTCCTATGTCAGAAAAACTGAAAGATGTTGAATTCTTAAAGATATACATATAGGTATTACATATAGGTACAGTAAAACCGATTGATGTCAATCTTTTTAATTTTCGGGTTCTGATCCGGGATTAAGGGATTTAAAAGCACCTGACTTATTCAAAATGTTTCGCATTTCCTTCAACTTGTAACAGGAAGCT